TGTAACAGACAAATACCTGAAATAAAAATACCTGAAAATAAAATAAAGGATATTAAAACCTGCAAATAAATAATAATTACATTGAATTTGTAATATATAAAAAGAAAGATTAATACTCTCTGAAAAAATACAATATATATAATACAAAAAAAAAATTACTCTGAAAACAAAAATTAATTAAATAAGAATAATAATAACATTTCAAAGAAAGGATAAATATTATTTGATTATTTAAAATTTAAAACAAACATTTGTTTTCATATATTATATTGGATTGTGCAGGCCGCCTTAAACGCATAAGAGTACACACACTTTTTTCACATATGTACTTACTTAATAATTGATATTTACTGCTTCTGTTGCTTTTTTCAGTTCACTAGGAATTCCAAAGCTATAAAAATAAATGAAGTAACTATTTGCAAATTATTTTTAAAAAAAATTACATAAAATTCACTTACTTACCTTCTTGTTGTACGTTCCTCCTTTACGATGGTACGAGCACGAATGACATGCGTCTTTCAATCGTTTTTTATTACCCTTTTYGGGATTTTCTTTTGGCACTATGACAGTTATGTTTTTTCCTTCGCACTCATTCAAATAAATCAAGAAATGAAAGAAACATTTTTTCATCGCATTTAGGTAAACCAAAAATAACCCAAAAATGTGCGTTGCGGTTAGTGCATAGAGAAAAAATGTGTAGTTGTATCGAAATATTTGACACAAGTGGGTAGCCGTGGTTGGCAGGGTATATTACCACCATCTTCAAATAAGATATGTATGTATATGTGACCTAAGGTCAAGCGAAAAGGCTTAATTTAATATTTAGCGTTGATGTGCAAAACGTCAACTACAGGGTTGGAATATATCGAACTAGAACTAAGCCAATTTTATTCATATTAACTTAAATTTATTAAAATATCACACTTTTGACTAAACGGTTTAAAATAAGATAGGGAGAAATTATTATATGCGATATATTGTGGGCAGTAAAATCTCAGCCGATTTCACTAACTTTTGACATTCCTCAGTTCAAGAATATATTTCCAAACAAGTACAAGTTATACGTAGTACATATTTGGGATTTTGGGTAATATGTAGAACAGTATCACATATATATATATATAACTATAGGATGTCCAATGTAATATGTTCCGTTGATTTTGTTAAAATATCTTACATATTTATATATATACGGTCTAAAGCCAATCGGAATTTTTTAAATTTTATATTAGGTATAATACATATATATATATATGAGAGACACAGTGGTATTACAGACAATTACATTAAGATAATTCACGTATTGACCGATATGTCCGGTACTTTTTTAGGGACATTATTATTAAGATTAGGATTTTCTCGACATTTTCGATTAAAATATCGCAATAGGAACTGGGATCCATATATTCGATTCCAGGGGAATTGAGCAGTTTAGCTTCGATTACGATAAGTTTTGGTTTGCAGCTGAAACACTACAAAGGCAGTGTTCATGCAAAGCAAAGGCTTTGCTAGCATTGGTGCTCAATTTTTGCACTTGAAAAAGTCAGATGAGATTTATAATTATATTATGTATATGAGAAATAGGCGTGGTTGTAGTCTGATTTTTTCAGTTTTCGTACTGTAATACATAAATAGTAGAGTAATGTGAATGTACAGAATTGATAATTAACATAATTTCTTTTATGTGTATAATAATTTCATAATATCACACAATATATGGAACTAAGAATTGTTTATTATAATAAATATTTAGTAATATGTATGACATAAAATAATCTGAAATAGACATCTATCACTAATGCGCAGTGCTGTTAAGTAAATGTAATGTCTAAAGTAATTTCCCATTTTCAATTAAAAGTAATATATCGTCCCTTGATTCATATTTGAGAGAATTTGATTTCGAATCTTCTAGTCGATCATTGATTGAAAATGTTTTTTATTGCTTTATCCAGGCGCTTTTATAATTTCTTTTCATGAGCATCATGACCCACTTCTGAGCTGAAATCGAAATCTATTGTCTGAAATGCGTTTTGTGCCCATTCGAAAATACTTTGAGCATTACGTATGTAATACCCCGCAGTACGTTGTATACTCACTTTTTCAACCAGCTACTAACCAACTTACCAATAGAAATTGGGTATAAAAAGCATAATACCTTACTAACATATCAGTAGAAACTGGGTTTCATTCCAAATTCTTTGAGTTTTGAAATAATAGAATGAGCGAATTACTGGTAGGTGACGCCAACTCGACGAAAAGCATAAATTATTAGGAAACAAGCTAACAAAGAATGTTAGTATAGTTAGTCTTAATATAAGAATTAAACAAACCTTACAAGTGGTGTTATTAAAGTTATCCACATATGTATGTCGGGTATGGCGCTGTATATGCACAAAATCTCATTTTTCTCGTGTCGCCGAACAGGAAAGATCGCGGATGAACAATTGTCACACATATTCACTGTTTGAAGCATTGTAGAAATATACAAGTAACAAACGAATTATATGGTCTTCAACAGCTGGGATCACCTTTTTTCCGCACAGTAGGCCTATTTGCAGCCATATAATATTTATATAATATATTTCTAGTCTCTTATACACATCTAGATGTGTATAAGAGACAGTCACACAGTTGAACGAAACACATTGTTTTTTGAAGTAGTTACGCAAATATTCTTAAAATATTTTTAATAAAATAGGATTTACCAATAGTCGGACATTTAAATAAAATTTTAATCAATACTATGTATAGTTGACTTTTATGCATTTTAATAATCGAAATATATTTGAAAATTTAACGAAAACGTACTTAAAGTAATAAATTGTATAGCATAACACGGCAACACACTGAATAAAAATTTTGTGAAACTATTTTTGCAAAATGGGAAATAAATGAAAATATATTCATTGAAGTCGAGAAAATATATTCTCTGTTCAACCAAGTTTGAAGAAAAAGCAATTCCGATAAACGTTTTGTTGTCAAAAGATTGCGTTTTTCGGACGCAGTTTCACCCGATTTTGAGAAAAGCCGCTCAGCTGGTATTGAGGTACCAAGTAGATGACAATACTTTTTTGAAAGTCCGTACAGCTTTGGGTAAACGGTTTTGATTTCTTCACAAGCATTTACAGTGTTTCGACTTAGTTCTAATACCTGACAATTCAAATAAAAGCTCAATTCATCTTGTGGACTAGAGTTTTGTGAGCAGCCCAGAGGTCAAACTCATTCTCTACCGATTCTACTGACGACCCGCTGCCCGTTTCCATAGTATCATCTGCAACTGTTATTTCAGTACGTAAAAACTTTATAACTGGGGGCAACGCTAACGGGTCTTTGAAATGAATTATTTTGAACCTCGGTTCGAGTAATGTTGATGCAGCTAGCAAAAAGGAATGTTCGATGTAGCCAAATCTACAATCAAACTGATTTAACACGACATCTTTTAGCTTTTCAGCGACTAGCTGTTTAGCTGTTATTCTCACTATTTGTTCCAGACCATAGTGAACTAATGGAATTACTTGACTTAACGGTGCTCGTTGTTCACCACTTAGTTGTACAGTCATTGCCTCTAATGGACTCAATATACTGAGTATTTCCATGATATCATCTTTTTTCTTAGATGGTATCATTAAAGGTTCGTCAGAATAATTGAGGAGTATTTGGTTAATATATGAATATAGTTTAATGAACCGTTCAAGCTTGTAGTTGGTCGAATTCCAACGTGTTTGCACGTCCAAAATTGTCTTTAGCATTTTGCGTTCAGGTACTCCGGCAGCAGCTTGCATATTTCGAAGATCAGCATTAGCTTTAACACTTCTTTTTAGCCACTTAACTATTTCTTTGCWTTTTACAACAACTGCATTTACTTCAGGATTTTCAGTGAGTTTTCACATACCAAATTGATGGTGTGTGCAAAACAAGGAATATGGCGTTTTTTGCCCAATGAATGATGTACTGCTTTTACGATGTTTGCACCATTGTCGGTCACTACAGCCATTACTTGTTTTTCGTCAATAGAAAAGTCTTTCAAAGCAGCAATGAGAACTTCGGAAATATGTGATACAGTATGTGCTTCCGTTAATTTATAAACGCCAATTGTTCCATTAAATTGCTTCGTCCCATTTACACCATGAATGGTCACACCAAGCATGCTATTCATTTCTACATCAGTCCAGATATCTGTCGTTAAACTCAAATATGAAAAAGTTTTTAGCATCGCTACACATTGTTCTTTTTCTCCATCGTACATTTTTTTAATGTGAGCCTTGATGGTATTTCGTGTTGGGACTTTGTAAAGAGGAAAATGTTGTTTATCAATTTGTTTCGTAATGTATTTTAATATACCTTCAACAAACTCAAAAGGTAGATTATCCTTGATAACCATTTCAACTATTTCATGCTGTAGCTTTTGCTTCTTTGAGCCATGAAGCGAAAAGTCTCCAATATTTTGAAAGACTTTAGAAATGAGGGGTTGAGGATTTTGACTGCTACAGCTGGGTAGCTCTCTCATGCTGCTTTCATTCGATTTCTTGCTGCGGAAGCAATTGATTAATTGATTAATTGGTTTGCTGCTGCAACTTGGCATTTCAATCATGGTGTCAGTGTCATCACCACTTAGGGAAACATTGTCTTTACTCCTAGATTGCAGAGTCTAATTTGTACACATATATTTACATATAAATAACTAGAAGAAATTTAAAATGTAATACCGATTGCTCCAACTTGCCACCAATTTGCATGCCACAGTTGCATGCTTTAATTTTAAATGCTGCAACGTATTTGAATAAACTCATTATTATGAAGTGTATTTCATTTTGAAATGTTGTATAAAACTTACCAATCATCAACAACATTCCCTAAATCGTAAAGAAAATATTTATGTTACTACACACATATATACATACATAATACGCACAAAGATTATTTTCTTTGTTTATTCTCTCTTACTCTTCTAATATGGATCATTCACAATGCGTAACTATTTGTCAGAGTTACTTGAAGAAATAATGTATTTTTTTCTATATACTTGAGAGCTGGATACCAACCTTCAGCTGTAAATGCAGTGTTACTAGACATTCATTTGTTGATATTAAACTACGTTGACACATTAGAATTTAATGACTAGGAAAACGAGATCCAAATTCATAACACAATCCTTACTAACACTCCTCAACGACGGTTCGCCTACCCTCTACTCCACCCACCACACATTAACACGCATTGACCTATCAATCGCATCCCCAATCATCGCCATTCAAAGTTATTGGAAAACGGAGTCGCAGCTCTTCGGCAGTGATCATTTCCCTATAATAAATACTCTCTTCCCTGACAATAACACTGAAATGGTCCCAAACCGCCCCAAATGCAATCGAAATAAAGCAAACTGGACCCAGTTTCACCTAGGAGGCCATTTTAGCAACAATAGACCGGTTAGCACAAATATCACATCTCGAACCACAATATAATTCAATATAAGAGGGCTCAAGCAAAAACATAAAGATAGCAAAAGCAGAGTATATTAGTCAATTCACCTCAAATATTAATCAGCACAAACAACCAGGAAAAGTATGGGCAACCATTCGCTTCTTCTGCGGACTAAGACCCAGATCATCAATTCATTGTATCGATACCAAACTGTTAGATGGAAATACTCGTACAACTACAGAAAAAGTGGAAATTGCGAATGTATTTGGACAATTTTCTTCGAAAGAAGCACAAAACCGTAAATCCTCGTCAACATTTCAGCAATGTAAACAAGACACCCTCAAAGGAACATACACCCTAATACCCAAATCTGCTTCCTTTATCGAAGAAAATATCAGCTATTTGGAGTTAGATATTGCACTAAATAGTCTCAAAGGCAAAACACCCTCTCTTGGCCGTATATCTTACCAAATGTTACAACACCTACCAAAAACCGTAAAACACCGGCGCCTTGACCTGTTCAACAATATATTCAATCAATACTTACCGCAGATGTACAAAAATAGTACGGTAATCCCCATACTAAAACCAGATCTCGATAAAACCTTAATTAAATCGTACCGACCTATTTTTCTCAATCCATGCTGCTCAAAAGTACTAGACAAGATCATTGCCAATAGATTGGTTGGTTGCCACAGACAAATTCATACATAGTCATCAGGTGGGGTTCAGGAATGGAAAATCAGTGTCTGATTTCCCAGTATATCTAGACTATCAGATCACTCAATCCCTATCGGCCAAAAATATATATCAATCGTCTCTCTAGACTTCTCCAAAGCCTTCGACAAAGTGGGATTACACTCCATTTTGGACCAACTTAGACTCTGGAATATCGGCCCAAAAGTTTTCCGATACATAAAGAATTATCTGACCAATAGAACTATCAAACTAAAAATAAATTCACATTATTCTCAACAATATCCCCTACAGAATGGTATCCCAGAGGGACCACCAGTATCCGTTATACTCTTCCTCATTGCTTACAATAAGCTTAGTAATATCATTTCCCTTCACAAGGAATTAAACATCCTGGCATACGCTAACGACTTCATTATTATTAAAAAAATGGACAGATCAAAAAACACTCCGATAGATCTCAGCAACTCACATAACGACATTACCAACTGGTCCCAATACTCAAGGGCCCAACTATCACTACAAAAATGCAAAGACATCCACATATGTAGAAAGCACAACTGCCAGGTTAAAACCCTCTGCAACAACATCAACATAAGCTCTGTTAACAACCTAAAAATACTCGGACTTATATTTAATAATAGATACAAATGGAATAGTCACATCGACTACCTAGTATCTGTACTTAAAAAACGACTCGACATCATAAAATGCCTCGCAACTACAAAATACAATTGCAACACAGTGTTATTATTATTAGCAGTAAAAGCGTTGGTTATATCAAAAATCAACTACGGCATCAATTCTAGCATACGCACAGCCCTTGGGCTCAATCATATCCCTTAACTCCGAGGCCAATATCCTACCGTTGAACACCAATAGAGATTTTAGTACAGCTATACTTATAAAATCGGTCATAATCAACTATTACTCCCTTCTTCCCATGCTCCTATCCAAAAATACTCAAAAAATAATTAATCAAACTGCATCCTACCTAAATAGAAATTTAATTAACAATTAACAAACTTAGCAAAATAATTCGACATCCCATTACATCTTAAACCTTACAAAAACTCGAAAACTCCACACTGGAAACTGGATCTTTCAACAATAAAAACAAATCTAACCCATTTCAAGAAAATCGTTACGCCTCCATTAGTATTTAGAAAGAAATTTTACGCAACTATCGAAAACTCCGYAATTTCAAATTCCTATACACGGACAGTTCCAAAATCAAAACCAAAGTTAGCCAGAGCATAATTCAAAACAAAAAATTATAAAAATCGCACACCTACCCATCTATATCTCATATTTCTCTGACGAACTAATAGCCATTCACGAAACTATCAAATACTCCCTCTCTTCTATTGACTCAATAAAAAAACCTAAACAACCAAGACTTCTACTCCAACTCAACTCGTAGGTATCTTCTAGAGAAACCAAATAAGCTAAAATTAATTTGGATCCCAGGTCACGTACAGATGCCCTGCAACGAATGTGCCGACATAGCAGCTAAAAATGCTATAAACGCACCACTCACAATTACACCCAATGTAGTCTTCTCGGACATAAAATGCTTTTTAAAATCACACTTCCTCCAAGAACGCCAATATCATAGCAACAATCATTCACAATGGTACTCAAACATATCACAACCTCTCTTACTAGAAAAGAAAAAACAAAAAACATAATTGACAAAAGCCTGTCCAAAGTCTGTAAATTTTGCAATAGTCAAACAATCAGTACCCAACACATCCTTGATACATGCACATTCTTCGACACTTACCGACTTTCACCTCCAAACTCAACACTCTGACCYACTCAAAAACCCTTCATTTAATAACTTAATAATACTAATAATTTATTTAAAGTGTTGTAATATATATAATGAAATATGAACTTACTATTATTTCRCAGCATACTGCATAATTAACATCAATCACTCTTACCACTCACACTAACATTCTTAACTCCCACTAAATTATTTGCATTACTGTTTATACCATAGCTTCTACTTTATATATTGTTTGGTAATTTAGTTATAGTTTCAATATTCTTGTAAATAAATAAATAAATAAAGATAGTAGAAGACGATACAGAAACGTATAACATATTGTTTTCTGAATATTCCAAATAAAAAAGGAGATCGAATATTTTGTGAATGATTTTTAGAAATTGTAGTAGTCTTGAATAACTTTAGGTACGTACAGTACCCGACATCACATTTTTTCATTACTCTTTGAACATTTCTTCCAATTAAAAAATTGCACATACTGCAGCCTATTGTGAGAGCAGAGCCATAATCCAAAAAGTGATCAAAAGTTACAAGAAAAATTGTGGGGTAGAGAATGCGCCAAGATAAGGCCGCCGAAGGGAAACCACTACTCGCAGAGAGAAAAAAATAATCACAGAAGTGAAGAAACACTCGATTTTTTCAGCAGAGCCTTCAAATTAATATGAACAATTCAGTGAAGAATACGATAAGGTGATTATTCTAGCCACTACAATATTAAAAAGCCTTTCCTCAGACAAAAAAACTTGAAGATGCGATTGCAATCCGCCAAAAAGGACTATTAAATGCCGAGTTTGGAAAAAAATATTTTCCCTCATCAAATTCAATTTGAAAAATACGAAAGGTATAGAAAAAAGTTGGCGAAAGAGTCAT